AGGTGCCTTATTTGACCCGTTTAGGGTTTACAGGTTTAGGGTTTTAGGGTTCTAGGGGTCTAGGTTTTAGGGGTTTTAGGGGCTTAGGGTTTTAGGGTTTTAGGGTTTTAGGGTTTTAGGGGTTTGAGGGGTTGTAGGGGTTTAGGGGTTTTAGGGTTTTAGGGTTTTAGGTTTTGGGTTTTAGGGGTTTTAGGGTTTTAGGTTTTAGGGGTTTGAGGGGTTTAGGTTTTAGGGCTTAGGGGTAACATGAGCTACGGACTACAGTTAGGTTGGGGGGATTATAGGAGGATGTATAGTAGACGGGGCTTAGGGGGGACCCACAAGGAACGTACTATCACTTTAGACCAGGGCTCATTGGATTTGAGGTTCGGGTTGGAGATTCAGTTTGGGGAAGCTGGGAGATTGCCAATAAGGAACATATTTTTTTGTGCCTACTCACGTGCGTGGTCATGGAGAGAAAGGGGAAACTACATGGGAATTATATCGCAATATTGTGGAACTCATTGGAGCTTCTGAAAGTCTGTGACGTCGGGTCTTGGAAGAAATTTCCCTCAACCCGGAATTGTTTTTGATCCTCGACCCATATCCGGAATGCTACGCCGTAAATCCTGAACCCCAAATCAGCGGCCCATGCTCTCAAGCCGAGACCCAGAGCCTTAATCCCTAAGTCCTAACCTGAACCCTGTCCTGGAACCCTCATAAGCCCGAAGCCCCAAAAGGTAGTTTCGCAAAACAGGGGGACCCCCGCTTGGACTCCAAGATACTACGATAAAGGGACCCCCCCAAAAAGGTACCCCTAATTTAGGGAACGTGTCCCAAATCCTACACATTCCTAAGCCCTAAACCCGACACATCCCTATACATCCCTACAGAGCCCTGCATATCCCTATACATCCCTACATATCCATATATCCCTACATATCCCGTTAGTAACAACACTGTAGGCCTTATACCTAAAACTCACCGGCAGTGTGGGGCAGGTGTTGGAAGAGCTTCCCACCGAGGCAGACAGGGGCTCTCCGCTTAGGGTTTAGGATTTATGGGTTTATGGGTTCAGGGTTTTAGGGTTTAGGGTCTAGGGTTTATGGGTCCAAGGTTCAGGGTTTAGGGTTTAGTTTGGAAGATTATTGTTATTGTCATTACTACTATCGTTTTTATTTTTGTTGTTATTGATATTGTTCATTTCTGTCTTTGTCATTTTTTGTTATTGCAATTTGTGTTTTATTTTCTTATCACTATCATGTTTGTTATGATTGTTAGTATTCTTATTGTTACATAGGGTCTCGTGCGGTTATGGGGGGTATATAGGGTAATAGAGGGGTTATAGTTATAGAGGGAAAATGGAACAGAAGATGGAAGCTACTATTTAGGTTTTAGATGGTTCATACTACCATTACCATTCTTGCTATTACAAGTATCTATTAGTTTCCCTCTAGTCTTTTCTTCTTGCTCCGATTGATTGCTTTTAACGGGTATTAGTAGGAGGAGGTGGGGGAGGGACTATAGACGTTCGAAGAACAGTAGCTACCAACATCTATTCAGCATGGCATGAAGTAACCAATTGTCTACAATGATAACACTAGAAGTTGCTCCTCCTACTGCTGCTGCAGCAGCAAAAGCGGCTGCTGATGCTACTATCCATTTTAATCTTAGCTCAAACTCTGTGACAAGGTCCTGGCATCATCGCGGTCGTTGCGCCGCTTTGTCACAGGAGGGATCTTCTCAAATAGAGCGATGCATGGGGAGTTCTGTCCAGATTGTGAAGGGTATATTCGTATGGCATATGCAAGGCATACCAATGTATGTTGCATATGTAGGGGTTGGGAATGAGATGTTTCTTAAAAATTGCCACTAGCTCTTCCTCAAGAGGGATTGTGACAAATGCCCTTTGTGTCCCTACGCCTCTAGACTCCACTGCTGCATTGATGGATGAAGTCCTGCCCTATATTCCCTAAAGCGCAGGGCCCGAACGCCCGGAAAACTTGCAAGCAGGACTTTGTCCCTAAACCGGAAAACTTGCAAGCAGGACTTTGTCCCTGAACCTTAAACCCTAAACCCTAAATCTTAAACGCACATGCCCGAAGCCCTGAACACTGAGTACATCATTTGAGGTCCCTGCCGTACTCTAACCCCGAAACCCTGTTCCCTTTTCTGGGTTGCTGGGTTTAGGGTGTGGGGTGTAGGGTTTAGGTTTTAGGGGGGTAGCTTAGATTAAGTTACCATACTATGGGAATATAGTAAACAAGAGGGGTTTCCTTGTTATAGTAACTGGGTGGCTGTTAAGGATCTCAAAGTAAGTTACCATACTATGGGTATATAGTAAACAATAGGATTTCCCTACTATGGTAACCATAATGGGTATATATATATATATGTATTCTAATTAATATGGTTCCCCCTTCTAATAACGTAGTTTAAATTCCCTAGCAGCAACCCAGTTTTTTGAAGTCCGAAGGAGGCGTACGACCTCCACCCTCGGCCGGGGGCTTGGTTTTCCTGCCTTTTGCTCCTAGTCGCATAGGCATCTGACGGTGCTTGGCGACCAGGGGGTTTACTTACTGGCTCTCAGCAGGGAATATGGGAATATAGTATATCGAGATTATACAGGGGTTATGTTCCCTTATTCTCTGCTAAGAACCAGTAAGTTTAGGGATTTAGCTCGAGCCCTGAGCACCAAACTGCCCCAAGGCGCTTCCAGTCCCTTCGCGCTTCATGGGGAAGCAGGTCCCTACACTTCCGGATGCCGAAGAGATCTCTAAAGCAGCCAGGC